ACAAACACAAGTCATTGTTCAACAATTGCAAGCCAATATTCAAAAAATGCAAGCCAATAATTTACAAATGCAAGCAAATAATTAACAAATACAAGCAAATGATCAACAAATGCAAGCAAATAATTAAACACAAGTCAATAAACAGGCTAATAATCAAGCCTGTGAACAGATTAATATTATTGAAATTTATTTATTTATTAATATATTGATATAGTTAAACCTCTTTATAATTATACACTTGGAATACATAAAAGTGTAATTGTAAAGTAGTGTAACAATTATATATTTAATAATAGTTTGTTTTTTAAAAAACATGTTTATAAAAAAAATATGCTTATATAGAAGATGGCTATAGAGAGATTCGACTATATATATATATATATATATATATATATATTAAATTTATTAATTTTGATTTAGGAAAATAAGTTAGCAGAAACAAAAGATGCATTAAAAGCTCCAATGGCATTATCAAAAAAACCATGCAAGCCAAAGATACCAAGAAAAATAGAGTGAGTAGTTGAGGTTTTAACTGCTGTTATACTTCACAAAATGATTATTACTGCTATTATAAATGATACAACCTCCAAATCGATAAAAAAAATATTGATTAATTTATATAATCTTGCAACAAAGTTAAAAGAGGATGCTGAAAAATGTAATGCAATGAAAATATAAAGGTGGTATAATTATAATAAAAAATTTGAGAATCAGGTAAAAAAATTAATAAATGAAGGCATAAAAGACAGATTAGCTCATATATATATTTATAAGAATATACTATGTCATCTTTCAAAATTAACAATAGGTAATCTTCATTAGAAAATGCATAAGACAAGAAATTTATATTATTTATTTAGTAAAGTTGGCACTGAAAAAATTGATCAGGCTGGATTTTTTATAGCTAATCAACTTTCAGAATATAAACAAAATAATATTAATGAAATTATTAGTAAGATAAAATGTAGAAAGACTAGTTAAACATATAATAATAATATAGAATTGTTATACATTTTGTGTAGTATAGAAAAATTAGAAACATATATATTTTATATAGTTCACTTAAAAAAGTAAAATATATTAAAATAAATGCTAAAGTGTTTCAATTTAGTTATTTTTATTTTTATTAAATTGATTTGGCTTAAAATTATCATTAAGCAGCATTAGGTTTTTACTGTCATTGGACAATATAACATTAGATTGTTTTCATTTTCTTTAACTGTTAAAATTATCTTGAAAGAAATATAGGATGCTAATAAAATAAATAAAAATGAAAGTAAAAATAAAGCATATTAGTAGAAATGATGAATATTAATAAAATTTAAAAAATTTGCTAAGTTGAAATAGACAATTTGAATGCCACTTAAACTTCTATTTAAATTGCTATTCAACACTATTATATGACTTTGCGGACATGCATATATGCAAAGTTATATAATAGTATTGAATAGCAATTTGAATAGCAGTTTGAATAGCATTTAAATTATGCTATTTTTTTTAACTATCCCAGGTGAAGCACCATGGGGTGCGTGTGGTGCTCAATTGTGCTATTTTAAATTTTACCAGTAGAGAATAATAATGGAATAAATAAGGGCAGTTATTATTATAGAAATAAAATTAATAGGAAATATAATTCATAATACTAAAATCCCAATAAAGCAATGTTTAACTAGCATAAATAAAATTTTTCAATAAAGCATAACAATATTAATCATATATTATATAATTGATAATGCACTATCTTAAGAAATGTGAATAAGTATATTGCACAAATTCGAATTCAACATATGACTTTACAAAAATTTAAATATCTTAATATATAGTAACTATAGTAATGATATAGTAATCACATAGTTATTAGTAAATTTAATTATAATTATATAGTTATTTTACAGCTATTGCATATTAAGAGATTTAAGTTTCTGTATAGTACTTAATATCTTTAAAAACAATACTACTTCATAATCATATATGTTTACTAGATAACTGTCTTATTAATATTGATAAAATATCTTTGCAATATTTTTAAAATTAAATAACTATCTTAATATAAGATTATAATAATTTGTTATTTAAGTTGTAATAGTATAGTTAAGTTATAGTTAAAATATTATTATAATATTGTTATAATTAAACAACTAATTTGTAAAGGTTATATCGTAAAGATTTTTTTACTAGATTGAGATGATATTTTTACAATTTAGTTAAGACTTAATAATTATAAAGTTAATACAAAGTTATAGAGATCTAAAAACTAAATCATTACTAAATTGTATATTAATTGTTACAAAATTGTTAAAATATTGCAATGATTTGGTTAATTATATTGTTAAAAATTGTATCAAAATTATAACAAAGTAGTTATAATATTATTGCAATAAAGTAATTATAAAATATTAATATTGTAACAATATTGCCAAAAATATGCAAGTTTTGTAAAGTAATTAAAAAATCTTCTTTTAAAAATATTTGAAAAGCTTTCTGAATTATCTAAAAAAGTTAATAGAATTAAAAGACATCTAATGATTTAAATGATAAAATTAATAAATTATTATAATTTGTTAGCAAAAAATGATTTTATTAAAGTATTAGAAATTATTTTTATAATATATAAAAATATTTGCAATTATTTTAAATTTATAATAATATGTTTTATCTTGAATGCTTAGCAATTAGTTAAAGCAATAGCAAAAAAAATAATTGAATATTTGATTTATCTTTCTGAAGATGATTTAAGAAAGACAACTAAAACTTGGATATTCAAAAATTATCCAGAATATTATAGTTCAATGTTAGATAAAACATGAAAAACATATTATACTAAAAGCATTACAGGATTAGTAAATATCTAAATAAATTTAAAATATTTTGAATGTATGCAAATATTATTAAAATAATAAAGGTTAAAGCAATAATTATATTAAAATTTATTTTAAAATATTTTTAATAATGTTAAAAAATTGGACGACAAATATGTATAGAGAAGTACATAACCAACCAGGCTGCTGGGTTTGCCAGAGGAAAAGGATACAAAAGTATACCATACCAGGCCATCTGAATTGGTAGTCTGGATAAATGAGACTGACGATTCTGAGTTGTGGCTAGTAGGGGATGATGGAGAAGATGCTAGAAAGATGGGTACTAGGGTTCTAGTAAACTTTACAAAAGTAGAAATAGTGTAATATAGCAGTTAAACAGGTAACCCCTATGACTGCAAGTGTTAGGTAACTATAACATGTTGCATAAAACTAGGTCTATATGTGTAGGACATAAAGGCTCTAATAAGTTTCCTATCGAGGATAAAGTATCCTAAGGAGACCAATAAGCATTAGGAACTTGGATGGGCAGCACCTTGAGATGTTTCCGTGATACAAAAAGGACTGCATATGCAGAGGGTTTAAATAGGCAAGACTCCTAGTTGGCTTGCAGGTATAGCAACTAGTGTAGAACTTATATAGTAATGTGTAAGCGGACTACTTAAATTACGCACCAAAAGTGCATGTGTGACTAGTTGTAACCTCCAATGTAAGGTGAGCCCTTGGTGGCATGCCGTGTCCTAATATACTTGAATAAAAACATCGCAACTCCCAAAATAGAAACTTTAACTTAAAAAAAAAATAAAAATAAAAATAAAAAGACCTGTAATTTCATTTTGGTAAAGGAAAGAAGGGAAAAATCTGTGAGTTATAAATTATTATTGTTAATAAAATACCTAAAAAGCCTCCTGCATAAATAAATAATAATTATGCTAAATCACTATTGTCATGCCTCTGGTGAATTAATTTGTCATACAATCTTTAAGTTTTCAGTTTATTAAATATTAACATGTATAATTCACCCCGTAACATTTGGTGGTAAATGTGAGATACTGACTTTGAAATAAAAATAATTGCCCAAAATGAATACTGAACAATTTAAAAAATTTATGAACATGATCTCAAAATTCTGTACCAATAACAATGGAAATAAAGTTGTGTCAAGGGAGAGCAACCTTGTTAAGGTTAAAGCATTTTATAGTGCAGATAATAAAGATCCATTTAAGTGGTTTGACAAGTTCAAGTATGCTGCCAAAGCCAATAATTAGGCTGAAGATCATAGATTAAAGATAGCATTGAGATACTTGAAAGAGATGGCTGCAGACTGGTATAAAGAGAATAAAGCTGGAATTAGATATTGGAAAACAAAGAATGGAAATAAAGAAACAAGAAATCAAAGTTTCTATCATTTATTAGTTGAGCAATTTGCACCTCCAGAAAGACAGCATCAGTGTCAGCTTGAACTCAACACTTTAACACAGAAGGATCATGAAAGAGTAGACAGTTATGTCACTAAATTTAAGAGGTTACTTAGTCAAGTAAACCCAACCAACTGCCTTCCAGATGGGTACATCATTAGAATATTTCTAAGTAGCCTAAAAGGAAAAAATGCAATATTCGTAGCAGTAGCTGCCCCCAAAAACCTAACCAAAGCAATTGCTGCAGCTAGGAGAGTTGAAATAGAAAACTTTTATGGGCAACATACCCTAGAGGTTTCTAATTTACAAAAATTAGGTGAATTAACTGATATAAAAAAGAGAATAGACAGATTAGCCTTAAATTATGCAATGTTAGTGGCCTGAATAAATAAATCAGAAGGTAATCACCTATGAAAGGAACCTACCAAAGGACAACAAAGAGGGCCTACTTGTTTTAACTATGGCAAAATAGGATATTATCAAAATGATTGTCTTTTAGAAAAAGTAACTAGAACATACCAAAACTTCAGGAATAATAGAAATACAGAGAGTAGGCCATGAAATGTGAATTTTTTTGAATTAGAACAAAATGACAAGTATCAAAATAAAGAATTATATATGGTTGGGAAAGAATTACAAAAGAAAAAAATATAATAAAAAGACCTAGAACAAATTAGAATGATAAGCTATGTAAAAGAAAGCTTTTAAAGACCCAAGATAGAACAGAAACAGAAGAGCAAGAAAGAATAGAATTATATAATACAAAATGAAAAATACTACCTCTAAGAATAATAGTAAATGAAAAAAAGAACCATCGATTGTTGATTCCTTAAAACTATATAACATTGCCAATAATATACTAGAATTACCATCCAATACAATCCTGTAACAGATGCTTTAGTATCCCAACCAGAGATGTAACCTGGCTAACATTCTATGAAGACTCTTACCCTCTCAAGAAACTAATTTTGTGAGTTCAGAAAAAAGACAAAGGACCACTGTGTCAAGGTGTTATATTAGATTTTGGTATAAACTAGTGTTAGCTGTATTAGATTTGGATGCAGCAGTAAGTCTTGTTTTAGCAAGATAATTAGATAAACTTAAATTACAAGCAGATGATAAATCAATCACAGTAGTAATAACAGCAATAGATGCTAGGGCAAGGACATTAGGGAAGGTAAATCTAAAATTCATAATACAAGATATAATGATACCAATAACCTTACAAGTAATCGAATCATCTAAGGAGACATTACTTCTCAGAACAGATTGGTTTCAGAAAGTTAATGCCTGCATACATTTTAACAACAAAAGCTCTATCTAAAATATTTAGATAAATTAATAAGTCTTCCTATTTTGAATAATGGGATAAAGAATTTGAAGCCTAATAACTTCAAAAATTATAAAAGTGATGGAGAAGATACTTTTGACAAATTTGATTATGAAGAGGAAGACAAACTAGAAGGATATTTTATAGAGGAAAACCCAGCTCTGTATTTTACTAATATTGAAGAAATACCTACAAATTATAAAGAGAAAAAGAAAAGTTAATAGAAGAAAAAATTTTACTTTAATTGATGACAAGTTATTAGAGTTAAAACAACAGCAGCAAGTGGTGGAGCTTCTAAAACAAGAAAAGAATATATTTACTCTAAATATTGAAAATTTAGAGCGTACTGATGTTATAACTCACACCATTCATACTGCTAATATGCTACCAATCAAACAAGCACCATATAGACTAGCCCCAGATGAGAATGATTTTGTTAAAAAAGAAATAGAGAAATTAAAGAAAAGAAAACTAGAGGTCTGCAATCTGGACTTACGTCTATGACAACAAAAATTCAGGCATGGGCATAAACATGAAAGCTTTGGCATAGGCATGAATGCTAATATAAAAATATAATATAGGCATGGGCACAGACACAAAAATTTGGCATAGGCATGGGCATAAGCACAAAAACTTGGCATGGGCATGAGCATGAGCATAAAAATTTTTTATTTATTAATTTATTCTATGTTTAGTACTATTTGGCACTTGTGCCTGGCACTTTTTGGCATCTTTTTGCCTAGCATATTGTGCCTATGTCTATAAAGTACCTGGCATTTGTGCTCATGATTATAAAAATGCCTGGCATTTGTACCCATACCTATAATAATTCCTGGCACTTTTGAGCCTATAGATATGGGCATGGTATGAGATACTAGTGCCTGGCATAGTGCCAATTTGCTTGGCATAGGCATTTGCAGAGCCCTAAAGAAAATTAATACAAAGATCATTTAGTCCATAGGCATCTCTGGTAGTAATCGTACCTAAAAAAGAAGAGAAATTATGTCTTTGTGTAGATTACCGAAAATTAAATTCAGTAACAAAGAAGGATGCCTATCTACTTCCACACATTAATGACCTTCTTGACACATTCGGAAAAGCAACTTGGTTTTCCACTCTAGATCTCATAAGTGGATACTGGCAAGTAGGAGTTAGAGAAGAAGATAAAGAAAAAATAGCATTTGTAACAAAATTCAGCTTATTTGAATTTAAGGTTATGCCATTTGGTTTATATAATGCTTCAGGAACATTCTAGCATCTAATGGATGAAATTCTATAGGATTTTGTAGGAAATTTCATGGCCATCTATCTTGACGATATAAATATATACTCAAAAACATTTGAGGACCACGTAGAGTATATTAAGTTAGTTTTTGAAAAACTAAGAACTACAAAATTAAAATTAAACCTAGATAAGTGTAAGTTCTTCACATCAGAACTTTAGTACCTAGGTCATATAATTAATAAAGAAGAAGTTAGACCTAATGAGAACAAGGCTGAAAAAGTAAAAAACTTCTCTATACCAAATAGCCTTCACCAATTGAGAGGATTTATAGGGTTAGCATCTTACTATAGATAATTCATAAAGAGATTCACTAACATAGCTTGCCCTTTACATAAATTATTAGAAAAGGATACACCATATAAGTGGAATAATGAACAACAAAAACCTTTGAAACATTAAAGAGATATCTTATAATAACTCCTATTCTACAATACCCAGAGTTCAATAGGATGTTTTATCTATATATAGATGCCTCAGGAACTGGTCTTGGCACAGTGTTAGCCCAAAAAAACAATGAGCAAAAAGAATACATAGTGGTTTATGCAAGTAGAGGCCTAACAAAATCAGAATGTAACAATTTAACCCCAGAGCTAGAATGTCCAGCCATTGTATAGGCTGTAGAGCATTTTTATTAGTATGTCCTGGCAAAACAAGAGAAAAAATGGAACCCCTTAGATATCAACAATTAAAGACATATCTAAAGAATCAAACATTACCTCAAACTTTTATCTCTCAACAACACAGAAGCTTACAGGCACAAAGTCACTTCTTTGAAATTAAGAGAGACCTTGTATATAAAAAAGATAAACATAAAATTAACAACTTGTTAAGGGTCATCCAGAAATATGAGGTCAAACCCATTCTGTTTTTAACTCATACTCACCCTTTGGGAGGACATTTTGGAAAGGATATTATGTTCAATAAAATCTGCAACAAATATTACTGGTCACAAATGTATGAAGATATAAGGAAATATGTCCAAACTTGTGATGCTTGTTAAAGAAGGTATAAGAATTTAGTGAAACTTCCATTACACCCAATTTCAGTCAAAGCCTCATTTTTCAAGATTGGAATTGATATTATCAGACCTTTACCAAAAACTGTATAAGGAAACAAATATATAGTTGTGGCAACAGACTATATAACTAAATGGTCAGAGGCCAAAGCCATTGAAGCAGCAAATGCAAATTAAGTAGCAGACTTCATCTATAAAGATATTGTGTATTGGCATAGTTGACCCCAGTACTTACTATCTGATAGAAGTACTCATTTTAGAAATAATCTGATAGAAGAGTTTTTGAAATGATTTAGAATAAATCACTATTTTTTCACACCTTATCATCCACAAACCAACAGATTGATTGAGAGGTTCAATAAAACACTCTGTAAATCCATAGCCAAACTCGTGACTAATGTTCGAGAATGGGATTTACTGATATTATCAGTTCTCTTTGCCTACTGTACAGCAAGACAGGATACAACCAAGATGACCTTATTTTATTTGGTTTACGGAAGAGAAGCATGCCTTTCAATACATCCAAGTGAATCTGAAAGATTATTAGAAGAAACATTTCTACAAAGACTTTTGAGTTAATAGACGAAGTACCAGAAGCCAGAGGCATAGCAATTGAAAAGGTTGAATTAGCACAGAGGGTAGCCAATGAAAGACATGATCAGTGGTTATGAGTTTTAGAAAAATTAAAGAAAAGGGACCTCATGTTAGTCTACAAAGTGAATTCTAAAAGTCATAAACTATATTACAAATGGAAAAGGCCCTTCCTTATTCATAGAGTCTTGAGAAAAGGAGTGTTTAAGCTTTATACTACTGAAGAAAAAATTATCAAGACACTGATAAATTGAAAGTTACTAAAAAAATACTATGTATGATAAAAAAAAAAAAATTTATTATTATTATAAAATAAATATATATATAGATAGATATGTTAGTTTCCTTTACACATGGTACAAATAAAATTGGCAAAGGAAAATATCATGGAGTAAAAGTGACATTTCCGAAACTGCAGTATAAATCACCTAAAGAAATCCAAACTAGGATGATGATCATGATTTACAAGAGGAATAATTACACATATGATCTATAAGGCTTAGATATTATTGCTAGAAGATTCTAACAATAATAGTGCAAACAAAAGATAAAAAAGATTTAGAAGAAATAAGGAAATCTGAATGGTCAACAAAGTAAAGAATTAGTGAAATCAACGAAAGAATTATGTAAATTAGAAAGAATAATAGTTGCATAAACCCAAAGCCCCTAGTGTTATTCAATAATTTGGAAGTTATAAAAAGACTTGTAATTTCACCTTGGTAAAAGGGAGAAAGGAAGAACCTGTGAGTTATAAATTATTATAGTTAATAAAATATCTAAAAAGCCTCTTGCATAAATAAATAATAATTATGCTAAATAACTATTGTCATGTCTCTGCCGAATTAATTTGTTATACTATCTTTAAGTTTTCATTTTATTAAATATTAACATGTATAATTCATCCCATAACACTTTACTTAAGGAACTAAGTAAAGTTTACTTAGTAGAAAGTTGAGAAATAATTAAATGTTTTTCTTAGTTTTAGTATAAGTGATTTACAGAAAAAGTTGCTTTTATTTGCTCATTATTTATATAATATTAAATGTTTAATACTCAAAAGAAATATGTAAATTTAATAAATATTTAAAATAAATTATGTTTATTATAATATTGTATAACTGTTACTTTTTTAGATTTTAAATATATTATTTAAAAATTTATTTTCTATTTAGGTTTTTATTATTATTGTAATTATTAAGACTAATGTTTATTGATAGCTAACATTTTTATTTATATTTTTAGTTAATATATTACATATTATTTATACAAGATAAGTATACAACTAGTTATATATATAATATTTAGTTAACTATTTTAAGTAGTTCATCTAAAGGTTTTATACTAGCTGCCATATTTATAATTTATTAAAAGGCTATTTATTTAAATATTCTAGTTTTTATATTGCATTCAAACAGTAGTTATTATAGTTATCATACAACTAAGCACTGACTAACCCAATCTTTAGCCTTTTTTTATATATCTATTAAGCTATTATTTAATTTTAAAGTATGTTATTTTATTGTAAGACTTAGAGAACCTTTTGTAAACTAACTTATCTACTTTTTAAATTATTAACAGAACTTGATCTTATAGAGTTTATTTAAATCTTGGCACTTACTTATAACATATTCCTAGTACTTTCTGTATATCTCAGTCTTTTTTTCTAATTTTTAATTTAAATAACTTGATAGAATTACAACTAATTTTATTGACATATCAAATTAGCTTGATATCTTTTTCTTTTAGTTCTTTTAGTTAGAATTCTAGTAGTCTGATTGATAATATTCCACATCTAAAGGTTTTTGTCTATTTGGATACTTTATATTAATATCTGTTTTTTAAGTTTAGTTTTTACAATAATGCTATTAAAAATTTATATTACCTTTATACCTGGTCTTTCTAAATAGACTTTTTGTTTCTTAATTTTTACAGATTTACACAATTACAAGAACTTATTTTGGGTTTGTATTTTCTAATATTAGTTTTTTTTTTTGTGTAATCAGTTATACAAATACTTTATAATCTGCCAGTTATACTAATACAACTATAATTACAGATATCTTAATCCAATTCTTAGAAACAATTGTTATAATACAAATATTATATAAATAATTGTTCAAATTTTTGTTATTAGTAGGTTTTGAACTTACAACCTATTATTTGGAGGTTAACAACTTATTTACTTTACTAAGTTACCACATTCTTATTTTTTTTTCTAGTTGCTAAATGTACTAATTTGTTATATTTGCAATTATATTATGTTTTCTAAATATGTTATATTTGCTATTTATATTATATTTATCATATATACTAATTATATTATGTATATTTGCTAATTATACAAAATCTGCTACTAATTTGTATAAATTATTAATATTTCTATTTTAGGTTATGACAATGTGTATAAAGTTTTTTAATAAAAATATATAAACTTAAATAAATTAGTTCTTATAATATAAAATTTTTTAATTATTTGTCAAAAATTATATAAATTAATTCAAAAGCTACTGCATTATATATAATAATTATTTTACAATAGTTTTATTAATAATTTTTAAATTACTAAATATAAAGTATTATAACATAGTGCTATATTTTCAAAACTAATTAAAAAAATAGCTATCAAATATATTATATAAAAATATTTAAAATTTTCAAACTTTATGCTAATTAAAATTTAAACCTTTATTCTATAACCACCTTTAACTTTAAATTTTATAGTAAAAATATATATACTATTAAATATCACTTGTATATTTTAGTAAACTTAAAATTCAGTATTTAATTTAGTTTTAAAATTATAAATATTTTAAATTATAAATTCATAACAAACCAATTTTAAAATAAATAGTTTTATATATTATACTTAAATGATACTTAATTTAACTATCACATCTTGATGCAATACTTTTTTGAGCTAGTATATATAAATTTTATATTTTTTGAAAACTTTTTCAAATTTTATAAAATTTAATTTGACTAGTTATAAAACTAATTGATTAAGTTTGCATAGCTCTAATTAATTAAGTTTTTATAACCTAAATATATTATCAAAAAATAGTGCTTATAAAAAAGATATAATTATATAAGAGGTAATTTTGAAAAAGAATAATTGTATATGCATATTAATATATACAAATTTATTAAAATTTATTGAATAATGATTAATTATTAGTGAAAGCCAACTATTTGAATAATCCTCAGATGAAATAAATGAAATGAATATTTTTTAAAAGACTATCTCAATGAAAAAAGTTAACCCAATTATTGTTATTGTTAAAAGAAATCTGTACGTTAAAACTTGACCTTGTCAAATAAATTATTTACTGTATACAAAATGACGCAGTTGCATTTTATATGGTTAAGTTCACTTCACCGACTCTTATTTTGTAGAAATAACATTTTTGATTCACGGACACTTATTTCACAGATAAGCTCATTTCACCTACAGTTTATTTTACTGACATTAAATTTACTAACAAGTTTTTTTTATAAATTCTGCTAACAATAACTCTAATTTTAATCTAACCACAACAATAATGACCAAATTATTTGTCAGTAACATTAGCTTAGGTGAAATAAGTACGTCAGTGAAATAAAAAAAGTCAGTAAAATATTACGTCTATAAAATGAGTGTTAGTGAGATGAGCCACACCACAATAATATATTGATATGTATAGAGATATAGATAATTTTTTTATTTCCTTCACTTTATAACAATAAGGCTTTGTAATTTATCTATAAAACAATGCATCAATACCTCGGGTCTCAAAATTCCGAAAGTCAAATTCCGAAAAGTTTAAATTCCGAAATTCAAAATTCCCAAAAGCCAAAATTCCAAAACTTGGTTATCGCGTCGTGTAATGTCGGAGTTCCAATACTCAAGTTCCGCTTTTGATTCGTAATGTATATTACTAATTAAAATCGGAGGCTGAATATTGGAACTCCGACATCACGCGACGTGAAAACTAAGTTTCAGAAACGTCACTATGACGAGAAAAAAATAAAATCAAAACAATAATATGCGTATATAAATTTATCTTTTAATTCCACCATATGACATTTTGCTAGATGTGGTAAAAAAACTTCACCGATTATGAAATAACTTACTTTATTTTAAAATTTGTAAATGACATATTACTTTTGAAGTGACAAATTGAAAATGACGAATATAATGACACAAAGTGTGTGAAATCAATATTTGTTAGTGTATTGATCTGTGGAGCGATTTACTGGATTAGTTAATATTAACGTTCGTAAGTTTGTACCGTGATTTTATGTAAAGAAAATTCTGTAAAGAACTTAACGACAATACAGAAATAGAGGTGGCACAAAATATATGGATTAGTTAGAATTAGTGTATTAATTGTACCACAAAAAAAAATTTTTTTCTAAAAAACTTATGGACAATAGAAGTGACACAAGGCATGTGAATTAGTTATAATTAACGTTCGTTAGTGTATTACTTTGTATCGTGATTTTGTGTTCTCAAAGCATTCCCTCAATGAGACTTGCTAGTGATCGAGGCATTATGATTAATTGAAGTAATCTTTGTACGTGGCAATTTGGCTGAAGATTTATAGTACTAAATACAGATATTAAATTTTAACTAATTGGCAAAACTTTATGATAAAAAATGATAATCTAGACCAGAGTTCTCATAAGTTCGTGACAGTAAAAATTTTTACTGTTCGCTATTAAATTTTTTTTGGGAACAGTAAAATAAAAATAATGTTTAGTTAAATGGATTATGTAAGATATAATAGAAGTTATACTAAGTTTTTTTTTTTTTTTTTTTGTTAACATAAACTATAGTTTGAGAACACTTACAGCTTTTCTGTTTTTATGAGAACAGTCATTGAGTCTGAGATTTCAGACACTGATCTAGACCATTTTTTTTCATTGCATTGATGGACTTACTTGACCGCTGAGCTATTTTTTAAAAATTGAGTTCCGACCTATTAATTTAGACCCCTACTGTAAAAAAAGGTTCTGTAAAAAGCTTACTGATTATAGGGACGACACAAGTATGTGAATTAATTAATTAACGCTAGTATATTGATTTTTACTATAAAAAATTTTTCTGTAAAGAACTTATAAACCGTAGAAGTGCTAAAAGCATGTAAAAAAATTTTATGCTAAAATTTACAAACGCAGATTACCCTTCAACTGATTTATGGTTATTCGTAACCAGGTTCAATTTTCAATAATTTCTTTAAGTCAACAATTGATTTATTAAAATTTTCAGAATGTAATAAATTTCTCCTCAATCTCTTAGTACTATTATATTATCTAGTTCACTTCTAGCAGTTCAGTTAAAGTTTCAAGCGTTTATTGTATTCACTCATAAGGAAAAACCTTCATCCTTGGTTACTTTGTTTTTTTTTCTAATGATTTATCAATTCACCTGTTACATTAACAAGTACCATCAACAATAAAATGAATTTTCTTGACTTCGTTATTAATATATTAATTGATTTTTTTTATTTTTACTTTCGTTGCCATCGCTGTTAATTAAAATAAACATAAATAAGATTAAATTCTAAATAAGCTAGAACGATCAAACCCTTAACCAAATTTACCAGTATATTGAATGTTTCACGGCCAAAATTTACTTCTATAGATCTGTCTTGCGATCTAAATCCAACTCAAGGGTATATAGTGCCTTTGAAATCATCAAGAAGATGACTTTAATTATGTTACTTTAATTATGTTATAAATATTACTTATTTTGCTTTGTAAAGTATAAAGATTAATTTTTAAAATGTTTTTTTTTTTATCTAAACTGACTCCATTTTTAGTATAAAATACCATCTTTTTCATAAATATAAATAATTTCACCAGCAGTATATGTTGGTCCATACAGCTTACTACTTCTAAAATGAAATGAATACTGTATTCATTGTCATCATGATAACTTCACCCACAATCCATTTTCGTTATATTCTTGACCTAAGGAAGATGATGTATGATATTTGATGCTAATATATAACAATAGAAAATAGAAACATCTATGATCTGGCATGAGCAAATTATCTATCTAAATTTTTTTAAGAACCTTTAGTGAAGTCGCTAAGGCGTTAATTCTTTATCGTTCTGCTTTTAATAATTCCTACTCCAATCATTCTATCAATAAATAGAATCAAAGGTTTATAAACAAATTGTAAGAGCAATCTGTAATATTTAGTTTCAAAATTAAATATCCCACATTTTGAAGGAATTGAGCGATTGGTTCAAATCATATAAGCTTTATTATCTTCAGGATCTTTAAAATTTTTCTGATAAATTAGTTGAACTGTCGAGATATTAGTCTGTTTAAGTGTGAATTTTATTATCTATCTACCTATATAATTCATTCGAATCTATGTGATTTATTTTCATTGTATCAGCACCCGATTTGTCATCTTCCCCAGCCAGTATCGCCACCAAAATTCTACGGACACATGATTTTTTGTGACATACCGAAAAAATTTAAGTTAGGGTTAGCGCTTATGTATTAGCATTCATATTAGTAAAATCGTCCAATGAAAACTTTTTATTAGATCACTAAAGATTGTTTTCTATGTAGATTTTTGAGTTATAAGCGATTTTTGACAAAGCGGACGTTTCTTCTGAATTTTCCTGCTCGTGATTCGTAACACCTGATCTTGAAATCTGATTGGTTTGCGCCACAAGAAAATCACGTGTCCGTAGAATTTTGGTGGCGATTTGTCACGCAGATCATGTGTGTAAAATTTTTAAATTTTGTAATAAGTTATTGACGCATCAAAATTTCATATCGATATGTAAAATTTTAATATATGACCTACATACTACATAAATTGCACTTTTGATATCTATATAACCTACTTACTCTAACTTCATCAAAAAGGTAACCCTAAAACTCACTCCGCTTTAACCGACCGACTACCTGTTTTGGATAAATGATGTATATGCGATTTATAACTTAATGCATGTATGAAGATCTAATTTCAGGGGCTTAATTTTAGCCAGGCGCTACTTTAGTTTAGATGCAACAAAAATCGTAGAAAAAATGGCCAACTTTGAAGCCCGCATTCTTTTCCATTTTATTTTTAATTATTAAAATTTTATACTAAGAACCTTCAAATTCTAGAGAATTTGCAAAATAATATCCAGAAATTAAGCAAATTTGTACATATAAAATTTTGGTGCGTCAATTATTTGATCTTATATTAAAAATTTTACATGTGACATATCGGACGCCTGGTATGAAGCTGGCAATTCTAGATCTTCCATTTAGTTAAAATTCCTTTAGCTCTTTTATAATAAGTTTTACAAAAGAATAGCTAACAGAACTTGGCGATTTTATGCGTACGTACGAGTATTTATGATCAAACGCAATCTAATATTTATTAATCGGATATGCACTTCAACCCCTAGAATAGAGATTTCAAGATTAACGAATAGGAGATTTGAATATTAACAAATAAGTAACACATTTCAAAAATAAGGAGGATTTTTTAATAGTATTTTTACATGTTGAATTATAAATCGGAAAAATAAAATAAGATTCTTATAATTTTAATTTTGAAACCCCTGATAATTAAGGTTCTTTGTTAGTACATACGTATGTACGTCAAGATTCATTTAAGTCGATCTCTTTAAGATAATATATTATCAAGTCGCACAATATTTATATCATACATAGATATCGCTATGTATAATATTAGATCTTTATTTATACTGTCTTTACAAGGAGTGATTGTGATTTTTAGTTTTTTTCACCATGTATACGTTCGTTGTGAAAAGCAGATTTGCTTTAAGAGATCTGGATCTGGATAGCACAAATGTACTTTACAACATAACACTAATACTAATTAAACTACTCTAACTTAACCTTAATAATGGCAAGCCATGATTGAGGCGTTGAAAGACTTACTCCGAGTAACCAGGATAGGTTGGTATGGTAATTAACATTTGGTATTTGTGTAGCAGCTGGATGATGTCATATTTGTAATTAGAATATATATATGTAATTATTAAGATCTAGTTTAATCAAGTACTTACAAAATTGCTAAATTTTTTTAATAAATATGATTATTTTCATTAGAACTATTATTGATCTTATTAGATAAATAAGTAAAATTTGATACTGTCAATTAATTTTAATTAATGGATTCAAATGTTATAGATTTATTATTTTTGTAAAAAGTAATATCGGTTAATTTGTTATATTGCAAAAATAATTTAGTTTTTTATATAAAGTATTAGTTTTTATATTATTTTGCATATTTTTTATTTTGGGATTGATATATATATATATATATATCAAAAAATTAATTTAATTAGGCTTTCTTATTTATAATTAATTTAATTTGTTTAAATATTTATATTTGTTTATTTTTTTTGGTATTAAAGTGACGTTTTTGATCATTAACTTGATTAATTCTTTTTGGAGCAAGGTGTTCTTATAGGAACTATCATGCAACAAAAGTACAACTGATTATACATATATTTTTTCTATATTACTTATTTAAAGAATCTGATTAAAAGCTCTTTACCAATTGCTATATCTCTGCCTAGGGTGCTCTATTTTAAATTTTCTAATTGCAATATTTCTTATACTAACTTTATCAGATCATGAGAGCGTTTATTCTCTTTTATGACCTGGATTTTTGTTACTAATCTTAGAATTATTTTATCTATAAATTTTTGTTTTATATTTACTATAGTTCTCAATTTATATTAATTTAAATATTAGAATAATTTGAATTTGATCAAATCAAATTAACCTTAATTTGAATTTGATTTAAATTAAAAATTTATATTTAAATTTATATTATGCTAATGGAATTTAAACTTTTAAGTAATTGATTTCTAACTATAAACTTTAAATTTTGTAAAATAAAAAATATTAGTTTATTAAAATTTTAAACAAATAGTTTCTAAATATAAATATATAATAATATAATAATAATTATTAAAAATTATGATAAAAATTATGCTAAAAATTTGTTATCTTCTTTTAAATCTATATTTACTAAAATTTATATATACTTTTTTACTAATATTATTACTCCTAATTCAACTATAAAAAACATTACAAAAAGTCCAAAAATTTACAATTATATAATAAAATATGGCAATTTTAGTATAATTTAATTTAATATAAATTATTACAATAAACTTACAAATTAAATTAAATATTTGTTAAATTAATTAAATATATCTTAATTTAAATTTGATTTTATTTGAAAATTTAGCTATCAAAATTTATTATTCTATTATTTTGTAAAAGTTTTACCAATCTTTATTGTTAATAAACAGTTTATTGATTTTTTTTCTACTATTTCTCTATCACAATACTAATAAAAATAAATTATTATTTGTATATATGTATTCTAAAATGTATAAAATAAATAAAGATAATTTAGTAAACTACAATATCTTGACACTGTACTATTTGATTTCTTTTAATAAAAAGAATTGAATAAAACATATATTTGATCTGATTTTGATTACTAGATCGTAAGATATCGTTTTATAGTCTTTAAAGTATCTTATTTCTGATTGAATTATTCAATCCAATCGCAAAATCATGAGATATTCACATTAAAATAGTAAAATACATAGAAAATTATAACAAAAAGGATGTTATTATATCCCACAACTTTGATGTCAAATTGATGATTTTCATACCATTCATAGGGAAGTTAATAGTCTTCTGATCCGTTTCAAGACTAACAATGATCAACTGATCCAGAACCAGGACTCATAACATCCCTAACCATTCTATTTATCTCAATAAGAGGAATCCAATCGCAGGACCCTAGATATCACGATTCGCCAAATTATCCATTGACACAAAATGCTTACTTTTTTAGTATTTTGCAAAAAGATGTGGTTTCATGATTTTTTGTAATGATGATTACGAAGATTGTAGAAATTTTTGTCGCTGGTTTGTCTATATTTACGTTTATCTTTTTTGAAATCGATAGAATCTCTGATTCCTAAATTACTCGTGATCTGCAGAGGTCACATATTTTCGCAGAGAGCAATAAAATATTTTGGGATCTAGTGATCAGAATCAGAGTCCTCGAAATCAAATCTGACCAAAAATTGATTTATTTTTATTCTGCAGGCGTAAATTTTTGGGTGGATTTGGTTATACAGTTGTCATAATATCACTAGTGCTATTTTTACTATTGTTTAAATCTGGTAGCCCTGATCCGAATTAATTCAGTTCAATGATTATGATCAATATATCGTTTGATACAGTCAAAAATATAATCGTTATCAATTCACCTATCTACCTTATGTCGTGTACCATAAATAGTGGTGGTTAAACAAATAATATTTTCGACGTGAGTAAATGATTTACCTACTGTGCATCGGCTCAAAAAGGAAACATTAAACGAATTATAACGGCCTAAACAATATAAGAATGTATCACCAAAAGGTTGTTTTTTTGTAGAAAAAGGAAATTAAAGACCAACCTTAGAACTTAATAAACGGTAATTTACATTCATTCTTTACAACCGTCTTACAACCCGTTTTTAGGACAACGTTTCCGAATATACTTTGTTACTATTGCTAAACTATATGAACGAAACGAAACCTTCGTGTACTTGTATACAGTTTAAAATTCAATTATTATTCCAAATGATTTTATAATTTTAGTATTTCATTGATAAATTTGATAACTTTGATAACATTGATTACATTATTATGCTTTCCTTACATTAAATCTCATGTTAAATCTCATGAACGAAACCTCGTATTCTTTGTAGATTTTTTTTTTTTAAAATCTAATTATAAATCCAAATAAATTTTAATTTTAGAAATGACTTTATAATTTTAGTATTTTCATTGATAACTTTATTACATTTATTATATTGTGACGCTTTCCTCACGTTAAATTCTTTTGAAATCTCGGAAACTTTGTCAAAAAAAATTATGTATATAAAGACGGTCTCTTTCCCTTTTTTTTTTTTGTTTCCTTAACATTTATTCCTGATACATAATTCTTTATCAGTTATATTTTGTTAAATATTGATATTCATTTCTAATTAATTAATAATGTACTTGAAAATGTTTAATTTATTGGTCACTTTAATTGTATTAATGCTATCTTTCTCGGATGCTTTTAATCACCCAAATTATTTCAAGAGAGATGATCATAGCAGTCAAAATTGCCCTAGTGTCTTATTAGCAGCCACCTTTGATCAAAAAGTACATAAGGCCGTAGGACAACTTACATTACACCAAAGCAATGATGGGTCGATATGGACCCAAGGGGCCTTTCAGTCTGGATTTTGGAAGGATAGTTGGACCTATGAGTGGACCATACAAAATGGCTGCGGCCATACGATCACCACTCTTTCAGAGCAAATCTCATTCGATGTTACCGATACAAATTCATGTGGTGATACTATTTCATATACTAGAAAAAGTAATGGTTTTAGAAGGAACGATAAATCTGATGAACACAGTTGTTCTAGTGTTGTTGGTCCTAGCGGTATCTCGCCCATTGTTGTTAATGTTAATGAATGGACTTGGCATTGTGGTGGTAATGGAATTAAATTCCAAACATGTGAGGGTGAAGACATTTATAAAAAATACATTCCTCCTTACCTACTTCATGGTCATGATAAAGATGATCATGAAAACCGTACTGATGACGATACGTTTTCTGCGCCTAAGAAAAGAGTTAAGGATCTAGCTAAAGGTTCACTAACTGGGTTATATGTTGTAATCAACGGTTGCGAGACGTCAAAAGGGCGTCGTGGGTCGAGTAGTATGCGTGCTGCTGCACCAGTCGTTAATATTAACGGAGATGGAAACGTTATCACCCCTCCTAATCCACCGGCAAATGATCCTGCCAATCCACCGGCAAATAACCCTGCCAATCCACCGGCAAATAACCCTGCAAATCCACCGGCAAATAACCCTGCAAATCCACCAGATGCCACAGCACCAGTTGCCACAGATGCCACAGCACCAACTGTCACAGATGCCACAGCTGCTACAGATGCCACAACAGCACCAACTGCCACAGATTCCATAGCATCAGCTTTGACTACAGATACAGCAACCTCTACAGTAACAGTGACTAATACTTCCATTGTACCACCAGCTGCAACGGCGACATAGCGTAAAATGGTTATCTTTTTCCCGTGCAATGTTATCTAGAAATAATTTAAGATGATTATTATACATAGCTTTTAAATTTTTCATATTATTTATTTAAAATAAATGATTAGTAATAATTAATTGTTCTTGATCTAAATTAGTTTACAATAAGTGTAGCATTACTTACGAACAGTTAAATTTTGTAACACAAAGATTATGAACAGAATGAATATACATATCTTTAATACTTTAATCAGGCTTAGATTAGTTACTTATCGTAAACTGTAAAATTTCATTTATTTCAAATATAAATTAATTAAATTGATATCACTTTAAAATTCTTATGAAAACATTAAAACAATCATCCCAAGTAAAGATTGATCAATTTTGACCACATAAAAATTGTTTCGTAGTGCCGGGCAGAATTATGTTTATCGGATCAGAGCTATCGTCAATGTCAATATATTCATTTAAATTCATTTCAGTGTAACTATGTATTAAAGAAATTAGAAAAAAATATATTAATTTGTATGTATTTTGTAGCATTGTTTTTATTATTTCCACAAAAAGTTATCATGCATTGTTAACTGCAAATATCTACGTACGTAGAACCTATTTTGTTTTATGGAATTTTCTTGGGCACAAATATTATATAACGATAATCGTAAGATCTTATGTAAACGTTTTTTTAAAAAAGGCAACTAGTGTCAAGGGGTAAATGTTTATTTGTTTATTATTTACCGTTACGTATGCAATAATGTATAATTTGGTCCGATGTTTCTATTTATATTCATATTATGCATACCAACCAATAGAACGTAGTTTTTAGCAGTCTTTGTTCTTTGCATTGTTTTCATTATCTCGTTCTATTTAAAATTTTCGTTCTACTGTATTTAAAAAAAAAACCACAAGAACGTAACACAATATCTTTGGCGCTCAATGATAAAAGATTAAATCCATGGAATAGGTAACCTTAGATAAGACGAAAGCTGGGGGTACTCATATGATAAAATCCAGCTTTGTTGTATTGTGCACATAAGCCCCCTAACCTTAACTCTAGCGCTAATTCTGGTTATTGTTCTACACATATTCGATAAGCATCTGAAGTGCTTTAGTCAATCGGTCGGAACAGGTATGAAGGTAAATTTTAATTAACAAATCAAATGTGTTTTCATTCCAATGAATAAAAACATGTAATGATAGTTTATTGTAAAGATTATTTAACTGAACAAGAGTATTTATCATTCCAATTAATAAACGATGTAAGCTCAAATATCCTTTTTTTTTTTTAAAGAGTTGCGCTGATTGGTTGATTTGTTATTTGACTAAAAAAAGCGTGTTCAATTGCTTCATTCTTGAATCTTCAAAATCGTTAACGGTTGTTACTTTATTGTTTATATTAAAAGTCTTTATTAGAATTTAGAAAAATCTTAATGGATATTTTACTGCTGCAGTGAGGTTTTGAGGTTTATGAGAACTGAAAAAGAAGAATCAGGAACTGAAATTGTTGATGTTTTTTTATTGCGTGGTATATTTTCGACGTCCGTCTAGATGCGATTTAATAGTTATCAAAATAGTGCACAGTATTATGGCGTAAATTTAGTTATTCTCATATAGCAATGCTTGACGCTTTTGTCAGGTTTCGTCAAGCATCACTATTTCATATCGTTTTGGATAAATAGCAATAATGCGAATAACGATATTATTGCGATATTATTGAGATATGCTGTTATTGACTTATTTGCTAATACGTAATTGTAATGACGTTTATTTGCTACTGTTGATCAAAATGAAGATCTAAAACAAAACATAACAGAAATACGTTAGTGATACGTTTAGTGTGTCGATAACGAAGATCATAATAAAAAATATGAAACCACTTAAACAGTAACACTATTTACTTTAACGGTTATAGGATGTTTTCAAGCATATTTCTCAATGAATTGCTAGCGATCAAGTTGTGGCCAAGCATTACGATTAATGCAATCTTTATAGCGCGAAATGAGGATATTAAATTTTAGCTAATCGAGACAACTCTATTATAAAAAAAGATGGTCCTGACTATACCTGTGGCCAAAATCGTTTTTTTTCATTTGGACCACATTGCGGACTCTAAAAGTAAAATCACCTGTAAATTTCGCAAAAAGCTTATTTGGGCCTTAAATAGTAATAAGTTGACCCGCATCAAATCTAGTAGACTTTCTTAGTATCGGCCGGGATAAAATCGCCACCAAAAAGTTTAGAACATCACGTGACAAATATATCGAACATAGCTTACGTGGCGTCGCCCCGAAAAAATGGCAGCCGGATTGTCTATTGGGTTTTGGATGTTTATTGCCGGTAAAAATATGTATCTTGCATGTTAAAAGATAGTTATAATGATTGTTATTTGATTGTAATAACGATTATTATTTGACTTTCTCTTTGACCTTGCAAAAACTTCTTACCTTGAATGGCCTCATGCAGCACAAACAACTAGCCCAATTTGGCAGATTTACCCCAACAAATGGTTATAGTACCCGATTTTGCATCATTATAGCATTGTTTCAGTTGGATGACTTGGCTTTCAAGTTTCTCAAGGTGCAATCAATGCACAATAGTTTGCTTGTTTCAGGGGCATTCTTGCTATAAGGGGGCATGGATCAGGACAGCACTGGGTTAGAGCAACTCTGGTACCCATTTTGTTCTTAATAATAGTTTTTTTTAAACTAATAATTAATTCTTGTTTATATTGAATTTTTTTTATTAATGTCTGCTCATGTATTTATTATAAAAGCTTGTTATATATTCTTAGTCATTTTTATATTTTTTGTCAAGATCTGATAAAAAATTGACTAAATGATTTTTTGTTAGTTTGATAAACTTTTGATTTGAGTATAATTAGTAATACTGTATAATAATAATTATATAGAATAATATTTTTGTATCTAAAATTAAGTTTAAACTTGAATCTATATTTCTTGTCAACTAACAGATGTCTAGTAATCAAAATTTTTTGATCAGTTAAGATAATAAAATTTTATTGGTTTAGTTGAATTAGTTAATTTTTTTATTAAAATTTTTAAAGATTAAATTTGTTCATTTTCTATATTAGAACTTTAAAATTCTATTAATAACTTTGATCAACTGATTTTTAAAAAAATTGACTAACTAAGTTGATTTTTTAGCTAAACTGAATTTTTTACTAATAAAAATTATTTGAAGATTGATTTCAATAATTTTTAGAATATTATATAATCATTTGGAGCACCAACCTAATATACATTTTTGGGACAATATATTGTTATTATATTTTTACAATTTAATTTTTTTATATAGTAATAATAAAAACTCAAAAAATTACATAATGACAAAACAATAAAAATAAGTTATTTTATTATAATTAGATCATATTCAATTAAATTTTTTTATTAGATTACAATTTTTTTTTCTTTTTTTTTAGTTATATAAATATAACAAATAAAATATTAAAAGATAAATTTTTTTTTTATCTTTAAAATAGCAAATAACAATAAAAACAATTCATCAACACAAAGTTGTTTTGTTTTAATAATCTTTAATACCCAAAAGATTCAACTTAAATATTAATAGTGAAAAAAAAGATTCCAAAAGCATTAGTAGTATACAAAAAATATTTTCAAATAAATAGTTGTCAATTTTATTAAATCTTTAAACAACCATCACAATCGGTTTAACTTACTTAATTTTGTTTTTATTATCCTTCTTGTTATTATTATTCTTTATTTTCTTTTCATTCTCATTATTTCTGTTCTTATCATTCTTATTCTTATTTTTGTTTTTATTATTTTTGTTCTCATTCACCATTTCATTTTTTCTTACAGATTATGCTCTCAACATTTATAATATAGTAGAAATTGATCCTTATTGCCTAATTTAACAGAAGTAGAAGATGCATTAAGAGATTATATAACAGATAATCAACTAATACAAATCTATTACATAATCAAGATGATAGATTACTAAATATATAATAAATACAAATTTTTTTTTTTTATATTAAACAATGAGATAACAATTTTTTTTTTGAAGTTTTTTTTTTTATAAACATGTAAAAATGAGTTTATCAGCACCAACACTATTAGTATCAAAAACAATAGCAACAGCTCCAACAACAGCAGCAATGACAGCAAGTAAATAGACATCAAGTATTTGAGCAAATTTTTGTTTAATAACAATAGTTGTATCTTTTAATTAAAAACTTAACCAAAGAAATTCATAAAATAATGTCTGATTTAAGGAAAAGAGTGTTCAGTAAAAGTGGCCTCTTTTCAGTAACAATAGAGATAAGTGTTTTATATTAATAGATTAGTATTTTTGATATTGAAATAGTTTCAAAAAGTTGTTTAACTATAAGTAATTTTAAAACAATTTAGAATATATTACTTCACATTGTAAAATATTTTTTTAAAACATGTTTATCCCACTAAGATGTTCTAAAAAAGGTACTGGATAATTATCTTAGTAAAAAATTCTCTAACTATTATATTAGTATGACTGAATATTCAAATTATTTTCATGAAAAATAATGCAGTTTGGTAAATGAATATTTGTTAAAATTGATAATGTTTGATTTTATATTTGCTAACAAAACCCAAGTAAATTTTTTACTTAAATTGTTTTTTTAATAAAATAGAAGATGCTTTAAAAAATAAAAAATATAAAAGTTCAATAGTGCAAGCAGTTAAATATGCAATAAGTTACATGTATGGTTTGGAGAAACTACCACCTCTAAAAAGCAATCTCATTGTAAAAGAGGTTGTAGTTTGAAAATGTTACTAGAAATTGAAAAATGTTACAAACTTTTATTGATAAAAATTAAAATGATATATATTGGATTATAGTAATCATATATAAATCATTTTCTATATTTACTAATCCAACTCTGACTATAGAGCATTGTACTTTTAGCTATTAGTCTGCAATATAATTTTGAATCCAAAAACAACTACCTGTAGTAAAAAATGAATAAAAAGTTATCTTTCAAGTTAACTTGTAAGTAT